AGGACGTACCCCAAAGGCCACTTGATCCTGTACTATTTCCATAATTTGGTTTCTCAACATAACGTTGAGGTCATATGGAATTCCTACAGGTTGGTTGTTCGGTTGATTTGCCTGAGACCTGATGTTTGGTCCTTGGTTGGCAACAAAGTTACCATGTTTGGGCCATTGTTACCATTAGTTTGAATATTTATTCCATCATTGACACGTGGGGTATTCTGCCCATTATTTAGGACATTGTCTCTTATATTTAGGTTACCCCCTAAGTTAGATGTACCATTACCACTATTCTGATTTGACCTTACACCATCCTCCTGGTTTGAAGTAGAGAGACCAAAAAGTGGTTCTATCCCTTGATTTGGACTTAGGACTGGGGGATTATGTCCCACGATTGTCCTAGCTTGAAAGTGATTTGCAAGAGACATAACTGGCTGACAAATTTGGCCTACTAACTTATTCATTATTTCATTCAAAGTATTCAGTTTTTTGGACATGTTGTCATAATGTGCATTCCCATTCTGGGTAAATCTTTCCATATTATGAATATTTCGTAGATTTACCTGTTCAACAACATCCTGTGTGAGTTCTCCAAGTAATGCACGCATGGTTCGAGGACTCAATTTTGTCATTGGTTCATAACTACTGTGACTATTCTGACTTTGTCCCTCTGTTTGTGGAGAGCTATGCTGTTCCTCATATCACTCGATCACAGACTAGACTCCTTCCTGACTTGCTGCTTCCTTTTCAGATTTGTGAGGCATATTGTTTCACCTTTTGTATTTTCAACACCAAACACCAAGGTCCCACTGGGCGTGCCAAATTATTTCGCACGGGTAGTCGCTAACAATTAAAAATTGATCAGACGATTGTATAAGGAACAAACCTCTTGAGACAAAGTCCCAAAAAAGAGTGTTTTATTGGCGATGATTTACAATTGGAATTAAACAAAATGCCTCCAAGGGGCGCAAGCACACGAGTATTGAAAGAAATGTTTAAGTTTAAACTAAGAAAATTGAAATTACATATTCTCTATTTGAGAGTGTTTGATTCGGGGTCATTTCTCTCTATGTTTTCTCTTCCTTTTATATTCCCTCGGTGATTCCTTTGTGACAAACCGCTTGGAAACTTCTTGATTGCTTCATAACCACCCACTTTCTTTATGGTGGCTAACTTGTCGTGGAACTGCCGTCTTTAACTGCTACCACTACTCTTTATCGTTCAACCGCCTTCAACTAGGTTCCTTGAATCGTAGAATGTGATAAGATTGCTCAATAATTGCTCTAATAACTGCATTCCTTGATAACCATAACATTTTATATTTGCTAAGATCTTGGGCGATACGAAAGTATGGACGAGAACAGGGTCATCGCTCTGGGTGACTGTAAAGCACTCCATTCGCTCAGATCTTAGGCGTCTTGCAAGTTTGGGCGATAATGTTACTGTGTTCGTTGGCTTCTACTACATTTATTAATAACCCTGTCTGAGCCTTTATCCTGAATTACCCAATTGGGCTTCATTCTTTGGACTGTTTGATTTGGGAATTCCTCAATTGGGCTTCATTCCTTGGGCATTCGATTTGGGCTACACTTTTAGTGTGTCAACAGTAGTAATTTGTGAAATCTTATTTTTTAAAAGGTTAGATACGATTTTTTCCCTAAGTTTTTTGAAGGGGATGTGGCAGTCCCTATTCTATTAATTTGTAATAACATGTGCCAATTTTTTAATTACAGTCATTCACCTTTTAAAATTTGGAGCATCCTAGTTTTCATGGACTATTTTTGTACATTTGACGGTTACAAAGTCAACATTTCAATATAGTAAAATTACAGAGCCAAAAAAATTAAGGAAAATAATTTTCTAAATTCTCTAAACACCAATATTGTTTGTATTCGAAGTTCCAAAATTATCAATTGTAGATGCAATTTGAGAGACTGAGAGGAGAGTAAACTAGAAAAGAGCTGAGGGAATTTTGACAGTGGTTGTACAAATAACTTTTCACCTTATGGGGAGAGGGACTTTAGGCCTTTAGCCAAGAAAGGTTTGGAAGCACGGATGGGGTGGAGTTGTGGAGAGGACATATATGTATATTTAATTAGATGTTTGTTACGCCTCATTTTACGAGCCTCGGTACCGAAGTACCGAAGTGTCATCTCACCACTCCGAAGCCGGTGAAATCAAATAGACCACTCCGACCTCTCGAAGCTTCTCCAAAGTGATACACCGATTCCTGTCACTGATCTGCCGAAGTGTCCCGTCTCCGAGGTCGGGTTCAAGTGGACCCCCGTTAGAAGATTCGCTGCCAATTTAAGATTTGCTCTGCATATAAGGTTTAAATTGATTTGACGTCCCCCATAAAGCTATTTGATGTGACTTATCAACTTTATGTCAATTCAACTCGGGGGAAACAAACTGTCCGCCCACTCTACAAGCGCGGCTGATTGACGCCTATGAGCAGACGCTTCATACCGTCAGATGTATACACGTGTTCCACATCCCACGGTTCATACCACCTATAAATACCCAAAGATCGGCCAGAGGCAAAGGTAATGAAACTCTCAATAGATAGCACTCCATAACAAGTTTATATATTCTCCTCCCCCTTTATTGACTGATTGATTTGTGTAGTCCCTGGACACTGTTCCGACTACCCAAACCTGACTTGACCGTCGGAGTGTATACGGCCGCCACCCCCGTCGGTTCCGGCCGTGTGCGCCTGACAGTTTGTTCATTTCGTAGGGAGGAATACGTGGAGTAGCTACAAGTTGGCCACGTGGAAGAGCCATTTTTAGAGGTCAACAATGTTCATCTATCTTATCCTTTAAAATGTTATATATGTAAGAGTCACGCGTTCTTTTAAGTACAACATGGTCGGAAAATTTGTCACCGAAGGGAAATTGGAACAAATGGTTCCTAACCTATGGGAGTGGTTGTGCAAATGATCAAAAACATTTAAATCTTGGCATAAAAAATCTCTAACCTCCTACTTAATGCGCGAAATTGGTCATTTTGGATGGTTTCTATTCAATTCATAGTTAGAATGTCAAATTTTTTTTGATAAAAAGACTAAAATGTCCGAGAAAAGATCGGTACGGTCTCATTTCGAAGGAAAGACATTCCTAAATAAAAATAAATAAGTTAAAAAAAATATTAAATTACTACAAAAAGAAAAGACAACTCATCTTATTAATTAGTAATCAATATATGATAGAACATCTCTAATGCAAGCATACTTTGCTTTAAAGTTTATGTCATAAAAAGCAAAATATAAGGTATTTAAAATGTTAATCTCGAATAGAAGTCGATCGAGATTTCGTCAAAATGATGTAGTAGGAAAAATAGATGACATTGTTATCTAATGAGCTGAAACTCAAATTTAAAATTGATTCCCAGAATATTATAAGGGTTGTTATCCAAGTAACTTTTATTTTCTTAAAATAATATCAAAACCAATGAAACCATAAATTTGTTAAGTTATTGGGTATAATGGAGCTCCCACTATCTAGACAGAGTTCCCGTTGACTTGCACTGATTTTTTATTTTTATTTTTATTTTTCATTTTTCATTTTATTATTATTATTATTATTATTTGTGCTAAACATGCTCTAGTTTGGTCATATACACGATTTTTAAAGTTGCATAGTAGATGCCATTATGGGAGATTGGTTGGTAGAAATAATTGATTTTTCTTTTTGTCTTATATTTTCAACAAAAATTCTATTTATTTATTCAATTAAAGTAATAATATTTTAATCTTTTTTTTTATATCAAAAAATGACATTTTTATGGTCAATTTGAACCATCCAAAAGGATCAATTGAACATTAAGTGAAATGTTAGGAATATTTGCATCAAGTTTGAAGTTTAGGGACTATCTGCACAAATTCCCCATATGTAAATGATACTAGGGGTGGACAAAATGTTCATACCAAACCAAACCAGACCAAAACCAAACTAAACCAAACGGTTCGGTTCGATTCTATCAAAAAAATTAGTGGTTTTGGTTCTTTGAACCGAGAACCATTTGGTTTTAGTTTTGGTTCTGGTTCTGGTTCAGTTCTAGTTCAAAAACCATAACCAAAATTAATATTTAATTTTATATATAATAATAAGTGGAGACCCTAATTATATATTCATTGGAGATAGTCCATTGATTGAATGCAGTTTATTAATCAATTTCACATCATTAGAGATAAATGACTCATTAGTTGTCTACACTCTAATTTTGTGTTCAATTAAATTATTTCTCCTTCACTCATTTTCAATTTACACAACGCCGCAATATATTGGTACTGCATTTCATCAAGTCATTGAAGTGTCATTTAAGATCGAAAATTGAAATTGGTCAGTTACTTAAAAAGTCTCTAAACTCTTTTTTTACCTTATTTGTTTGATGAGTTATTTGTGTTCTTCACAAATAAAGGAAAACTTAATAAACATTCATTAAATATTAAACGGTAAATGTTGCATGTAGAAGTGGAATGTAAAAATTTTGATAATTCATTCTTTATTGTAGGAGTGTGCCTTCAAAACTACTGCAATTAATTTAAAGAATCTTTGCTATTACTTAGTAAACAATTTTTTGTATGAAAAAGAAAACTGATTGGTGTATTCAAATTATGAATATATTTTGCTTGTTAGTTATGAATTTTTTGATCTCGATAATTGAAATTTGAATTTCATAAATGTTTAATGTTTAAATTCTTGTGTAGGTATACATTACTAATTTCTATGATGCAAATCTAAAAATTTAAGAAATGAAATTAAAACCAAACCAAACTAAACCAGAACTGAACAGCTCGGTTCAGTTTGGTTTTATATCTTTAAAAAAAATCATTTGGTTCCATTATCAAAAAAATCGTTGGTTCATTGTTCGATTAGATTCTCTTGGAACCAGAGCCATATGGAACTATGTCCACCCTTAAATGCTACAATACAAACGTTAAACACTAAAAAATAAAGTTGAGGATATACGTTTAACAATAGCAATAAATTGGGGACCTCCCCACAAGTTTTCGAATTTCTATTCCAACAAAACAGTACGCACTAGAAATCCCAAACCCTAATTGAACGTATCGACCCGCTTCACTGGAAACCGCAAAACGTAATTGAAAAAATACGCACTAGCGGCAGCAAAATCCTTTCTTTCGAGGTATGTGCTTGCAGACTCTTCTTCACGCATGAAAATTTGCCTTCCTGTATTTTCTTGCTAATGGAGCAACCATTTTAGATGTTTCGCAGTGTCGATTTGTTTTGTGGGCTTTGTAAATAATTGAAATCGAATGTATGCACATATAAAATAGGTTTTCTATTTATGTTTCTTGATGTTTTGTGATATAGTAGAATATGAAGAGAGATTTGTTATTATTCGTTTACCTTTGTTTTCCAAACAATAAAAATGTTGGTGAATTTAGAAAAAGGATAAGGGGTCAGCAGGCAAATGATTTTCTGCTACTTCAGGGGCTAATTTATTGATTTGTACTATATTTTTTCTTAGTACTTGTTAGTTTCTGAAGAATGATTAGAATTTGTAAATCACCTTCGAGAAAGAAAGATGAATTTATGGAAGAAAAAATGTAGCCCTTTCGAAACAATAGATGCCAGCTTCTTCTGAGCTTTTTACGATGGGATATTAGAGGTGGTGGAGAGGCACTAGAATATAAATTCAATTCTATTCATATTACCCATCTTCTCTAGTCCATTCTTCTTTGTGAATGTATGCTAACATTTAAAGGCATTTAAGTTTGACATATGACATTTATGTTACAAGCTGTAACATGCGTTCTTAAGTATATTGCAAAGGAAGTCTGTTTATGTATAAAGCTTGTTACACGAGTAATTTTTGGGCTGGAGATGACTTTTATTGTTGTCACAATGAGTAATCAGAGAATGTGCACCTTGGATCTCCTGCTCTGTTTAAGAGCGTACCTTGTCATGAAAAGCATTTTGTTTTGTTTCATGCTTTGGATGAATACCTCCAATTGGTATTTTAAAGCTGGATTAATATGAAATATTAGGATTTGAGACTTTGGGTAGTCAGAGACCACTTCCATGAGGTCAGAACATAAAATTCTTACAAACTTGTGTGTAGACTGAGACCCATGCATCAAAATCTGGTTTGAACCTTGTTCATAGATTTGGTATTCTACAGCACCTCCTAAAAATTAGATGACAGGCCACCTCTTGAAAGGACGCCTACATTTATTATTTTATAACAGATAAACTGATATAATTGTTGAAGAATGATGACCCTGCTGCTCCTGCGTGCAGCCCCTGAGCTGGGTTTTCTTAGCATCTGCTTTCATTTGAGTGTTTCCCATCGTGCAGAGCTTTAACTTTTGGCTTTCATGGCAAAAAAATATTGTTGCTTGTTTGATGTGCTTAATTTAGCTGATAGGTGTTGTGTTATTTTCCCTCTTTTTGCTAACAGAATCTCGCCAAACTGAAGAAACACTGATGTCGATTGAGGAGATGGTGAATGATGTGGGGATGGGGGAACCTGATCCTGTGGTCTCTGAATCTGGATCAGAATCAGAAGAAGCTGAAGGCGTGAAGTTAATGGAACCTTCGAAGGATGCTGTAAACAATCGTGAAGGTTTGCTCGATAAGCTTGGAGATATCAACTGGCCTGCCAATGTCGAATGGATACACAAGCTTTCAATTGATATTGATCAGACACAAGAAGTGGATGTCAATGATGACCTGACACGGGAGCTTGCTTTTTATACACAGGCACTGGATGGTGCAAGGCAGGCCTTGGTAACATTTCAGTCAATGGGGCTTCCTTTTCTGAGGCCGTCTGACTATTATGCTGAAATGGTCAAATCTGATGCTCACATGGAGAAAGTTAAGGGCAGACTCTTAGCAGAAAAGAAAAAGGTTGAGGAGGCTGAGGAGAGAAAGAAGGCAAGGGAGAACAAGAAATTAGCTAAAGAGATACAAGCTCAGAAACTGAAAGAGAGGGCCAAGCAGAAGAAAGAAGATATTGAATCTGTTAAGAAGTGGAGGAAGCAGAGGCAACAAAGTGGGTTTGCCGGTGGTGATAAAGGTGGTGACCTTGATTTGGCTTTTGAAGAAGGAAAACCATTTGATCGAATGAATAGGAAGAAGCCATGGGTGGCTCCTGGAGATCGTTCTGGTGGGAAGGCAAAACAGGGTGGTGGAAAGGGGAAAAAAAGTTCAGATAAAAACATGAAGAATAGGGAACGTAGGGATTCGAGGTTTGGATTTGGAGGGAGGAAAGGGTTAAAGAAGCAGAACACGTCTGAGACCACGAATGATCTTACGAGAAGCTTTAATAAAAGCAAATTTTCTGGTAATAAGAGACAGAAAAAGTGAGACATTTAGATTTGGTTTTAATTCAACTCTTTGAAGCACAAGTCTATTTTAAATTGTTAGCTAATGAGTAAACGGAGAAGCAGAGTTTGTGTGTTCACTTTGAAGCGATTGATTTCTACCGGCTTTTGAACTATTGATATTTATAAACATGGTACGTGCATTTGCTTATTCAATTTCAACTTTATTATTGTAATCGACTTGTTTCCCAGACAACCATTTCTTAATACTTCTATTGCCCTGCATTACTGTTTTTGCAATTGATGTTGAAGTTACATATCGTTTCTTCTTGTGACCATTTGCCAATTTGCATTGTTATTCTTATGCTGCTGATTATTGAACAAGTCTGATCTATTATGACGTAGCCATATGCCTTTTTGTAGCCTTGGGTTAAATTCATGCCTATCCTATGGAGGCAATGTAGGTTGGTATGTTTCAGCCTCTTTAATCCACTACTGGATGTTGAAATGTAAATTAATGGTTAAAGTAAGTTTTTTTTTTTTTTTTTTAAACAATGTCTACGAGCATTAGCTTTCACACCGCACCTCATTATCTACTGAAATTGTGCTAGAAAAAGCTTCCTCTACGCACTTTTTTAGATCGGCACAAGCATTTAAAGGTCGAATCCGGTCCCATTATGCTAATGAGCCGTGCTAAATCTTGCCTAAGCTGCTTCTGTTCTTGTTAATCTTGGATTTTTTCAGATTGTGATTCAGATAAAATTGTATCAATGTTGATTTCAAATCTGGTTACGAGTATAACACATTGGTTGGAAAAAAGAAGAGAAGAAATAACAAAATAGACGATACAAATCAGAAAAATGTTAACATGGAGAACTTCAAAACACTTTCGAGTGGTAGAGACTCAAAGGCTAGATTTGAAGCAAACACCTGCATCTGGAAGCCATTTCTGCCCTTGAATGAATTAATTAACTCTAAACTTTTTAGAATGCTTAGTAGTAGTATTAAGCTTCAATTATACATGATAAATTATTAAAAGGCCATGCATGTATGTTTAACATTTGTAGAATCTATTGTTGTTCCATCAATTATATAAAAAGAATAAATGACCATATATTAAACAATGTATAAATAAATTTGGTGGCGACTTAAATTTTATTAAAAATTTGGGTCGTTACATTAACGATCCACTTTGTCTTCTCGACCCTTATATTTTCAACGTAAAGCCCCTTCTTCACATAGATGACAAATCTTTTTTTACTCTTCTCCGGCACAGCCTCAAGGGCAGCTGAAATAGTCTTGTATTTTCCAACGCCATCTTTCACCTCCACGGCATCTGCCTGAATCTTTGAACTTGAAGCTTGTAGAAGCTTCCTGTCCTTGAACGACAACCAATTTGGCTCTTCACCACTGTTGAAACTCATCAAACGACGCCTTCCAATGGCGCATCAATAGACTCTTCAATTGAGCTAATAATTGCCCCTCTGTTGTTAGTATATTCAGTGGAATTCTTTAGGTTTTGAACCATAATACTGCTCCATCCATTTGATGCATTTTCAAGGCCATCTAAGCATGTCTGCTGATAACTACCTGCAGAACTCAACCATGTCGTGAGATCTTTAAATGCCTCGAACAATGTCGTGTCCTCTATGGACTGTGATTTATTAAGATGATCTAATGCAAGAGAAATCAATTCTTGGCAACTTTCCAAGGCGGCAACTGTCATTTTATCTGTGATATTAAATTTCTTGATTCCAATGTCAAAGAAATCTTTCTAGGCCATAGAGAGCTCGTTTATCGCAACTTGGACAGACAATTTGTAGATATCATCAGGCTTGAAACTTCCAGATTTCACAAGAGGAGACAGGCTATTGTAACATGAAACCGGCTACAAAGTAACATTGCACACGACTCTGATAGCAGAAGACATCGACATATTTTCATCCCCGGATTTGCCATTTTTGCTTTGAGTAACTCCAACCAAAGTAGTTACAATAGCAGCTAGAAGAACAATGGAAGACTAGACAATGATTGAGATTCTATGTATCGTTTTTCTATGTGCCTCGAGCCTCTTTTGTCCAAGCACAAGTTGTATTAGAATACAACACAATCGTGAGGCTAATGGGCTATGTTATTTTGGTGCTATATCAAATGTTCAACCAACGAGGTGTCTTGTGTGCATGTATTGAATAAGTGTTACTATATCTAACAAAAGAAAGAAGGAGAGTAAAAAAGAGAGAATATTGCATCCTCATTTTACTCATTCTCTAGCTAAATAAAAATATAATACTTTTGCATACATAAATACAGACGACTGGAATAGTATTGGAAATCACGTATATCAAGGACTCAATAACAAATAAATTTAGATGATAAGATTAATTATCGCTTACAGTTACAATTGAAGAGAAGAATAAACT